AAAATAGCAATATTAGAGAAACCAAAGACTGGAACTGAGGGAAGTCGAGAGGTGGGGTGGGGGTTCTGAAGGAAAGGGGGGAGGGAGGAAAAATGGGGGGGGGAATAAGGATATGTTTTTGGATAATATGTTTTGTTATAACTTTGAATAAAAAATAAAATAAAATAAAATATAGGCAGAACAGAGGGGGGGGGAAGGATGCAATACCCTGACATTTTCTGTTTACTCAGTCAAGGACTTAGACACAGCTGAGTGTTTATTATTAGTTTAAAGGACATGTTCAAAAAACACAATTGCCTATCATACGTTGTTATATGTAACAATTCAAAACGAACCTCACCAGCTTAAAACGTGAAATGGCAGACTTCACAGCATATTTCACTATGATGTTCATGCCCTTCCAAATGTGCCCTAGAGATACTTTGCAATTGTCATTCACATAGAAACTTATTTTTTTAGAAACCAGGAGGACAGTGCTGAAACCAGAAGTATGTCAAGATCAAAAAGGAAATGGGGACTTGTGTCTACCAGGAAACATTCTGTCTCTTGAAAATGTGAAACATTGGAGTATATCTGCATATTATGTAACCAAGACCCAAACATATCACAATGAGCTCTTGATCAAAATTCAAGCTCTTATTTGAATAGTAATATCTCATCTATACAATGCCTCTTCTCAGTGTGCAATGTTTGTTTTCTGTGTTGTAGGGCTGTCATATGTCTGGAATTTTCTGGACATAGCTGGGATTCGCCCATCAAAAATGGTGTCTGGATAGAATTTTTGAAAAGCAGCAAAAACCTGGGTGTATGGCAGCCCATATTGAAAATGTTGATTTTTGGAGATTTTGCCAAAGAAATCCCCAAGCTTTAGTGTCCGGATTTTGAAATATGGCAACCCTATGTGTTGGAAAGATCACTTTATAGCGTCTCCCAGGAAACAAGTTTTCAAGATCATTTTATAGCGTCTCCCAGGAAACAAGTTTTCAAGAATATAAAGCACTCACCAAATATACTTGCCAAGAAAGAGAAAAACAAATGTGTCACAAAATCAAAACATGTTTAAGGAAGTTCTCTCTTCTATAGAGTGTCTTTGCACTCAGAGATTCTTCCTGCAAAGTCGAGCTTGGGAAACCCACTGTAGACACACACACATTACACCTTTTTAAAAAAAGAGACAGAGAAGTCTAGTCTGAACTAACATTCATTGATTTCCATAGAGTTAGACATGTAATCAAGACACGCAGTTTCATTTAGTATTATTGCTGGAGGGAGAGTGCATAGATTTCACTTTTGATTAATATTCTCATCAACTTGTATTTTCTTTATTTCTATTTGGTATTCCATTGCTTTCTAAAGGGTCAGAGTACATTTTTTATTTGTAAAATGTATTTGCTGCATTACTAGTCTGCAAGCTCTCAGATGAGATCTCTATATATACAATCTTTATACACAAACTATATTATCTATCTCTATTAAAACCACAGTTTGATATTTGCAGTTCTAGTATGCAACATTCAGATATTGAAAGCATGAGGAAAAATAGATGACGTCAGACATCAGCTGCCTCTTAGCACCACCAACAGTATCCTGGACAAAAAAGATTTAAACAAATCTCCTAAAAGAGTGAACTGGCCAGATGGATGTTGCTTACAAAAGGGGTTCTGCCGCATATTACTTGGAAATCCGACCCAGCACATGCCCATTATGCAAAGAACGGACTTCATCTGGGAAAATCCTTTCCCCCACATCAACAGGTCACAAGAAGCAGGTTCAGAGTGGTCTTGAAGGATGGAGAGAAGCAGTGAACAAATGGTAGGCACCCTGAGCACTGGACGTGGGCACTGGATTACCCATTAAAAACTCTCATGGCCTACTTGCCAGAGGGAGCTTGGGAGTGAGATGCCTCCTTGGCAGTCTCACTGACTCCAAAAGTTATACCTGCTCAGGGATGGGTTATGCAAATCTTTCAGGTGTGTTGGAAATGAAGAAGAGGGCCTGGTGTAGCCCTGACCCACTGTTTGCATTGACTGGGAGGAATGGTGGTTCCTAGTATTTTGGTAACAAGGACACTTGCACCGAGCCTGGAGTGGCTGTCTTTCAACTAAATAAAATGCTACAGATCATCCATGTAAATCAATAAGCTTGTGACTCATAGTTCCACACATTTACTGCCTAGTCCTTTCATTCCAGGATCTGTAGAAAAAAATGTTGTACATTGCATGTACCATCAACACTTGGCTAAGCTCCACACAACACCCCCCATTCAAAAGCAGCATATTACAGGTCTGAATCAGTGTCAGTTCACATGCACAACTGGTTTAAATGTGTATCAATTTGCAGAACTTGCCCCCTCCTCCTTCACCCATCTTTTTGAAAATAATATACTGAAATCTACTGCCTGTTTGGGATAGCTATCTGCAATACTGAATATGGAGTTTTTGGATAAGGAGCAGAAAACCACAAATACATTCCCTGCAGTTTTGCCGGGGGGGGGGGAGAAGACATGAGAGGGGAAGAAAGCATCTTATTTTTCCTATTTTGCCTTTCTTATTTTCAATGAACTGTCTATGATAAAAGGACCTCCAGCCATATACTTTTTTCCAGAATTGAGAAACAAATGACATACAACAAGCAGTTCAGGGCAAAAGGGGAGGGGGCTTTTAATAATCTTTATTGTTCTATTATTTACCTGTCAATTTTATGGCTTATAAAGTATGAGATTTAGGCCTTAGAAACCTGCTCTCCTTGAAGAGTAACGCATTGGAGAACGTACTGTATCATGACCTCAACAAACCTTTTACTGAAAAAATAGAATTCTCAGGAGCAAACACATTTCTCTCTGTGATGATGCAAGCTTATATACAGTGGTTCCTCAGGTTACAGACGCTTCAGGTTACAGACTCCGCTAACCCAGAAATGGTACCTCGGATTAAGAACTTTGCTTCAGGATGAGAACATAAATCGTGCGGTGGTGCTGCAGCAACAGGAGGCCCCATTAGCTAAAGTGGTACTTCAGGTTAAGAACAGTTTCAGGTTAAGAACGGACCTCCAGAACCTTATTCTGCCTCCCCCTGTCCTCTCATGACTGGAAATGCCATCAAAGATCAAATTTCTTCCTATCCTCAACCTACGAACAGCAAGCATGCAAAGGTCTTACAAGACACCCCCCGCCACTCAAATTTAGCAGTAATGTGCACACAGCTGTATGTTGTAGGCCTGTTCTATGTGACTGGAAAACCAAGAAGGCTTCTCCATGGCAGAAATGGTGTGCTTCACGGGGGTTGAAAAATGTTTGAGATATGCCTAATTACACATAGTACTTCACAAGTAATACAGTGGTGCCTCGCAAGACGAAATTAATTCGTTCCACAAGTTTTTTCTTCTTGCGAGTTTTTCGTCTTGCGATGCACGGTTTCCCATAGGAATGCATTGAAAATCAATTGATGCGTTCCTAGGGAAACCGACTTCAGACCAGGTCCGGGGACAGTCTGTCCCCCGACCTCTTCTGAAGGCTGGGGGGGGGACAAGGGCTTTTCTTCCCACCCCCAGCATTTTAAAAAACCCCGGGGACAGCGGAGGGCTTCTCCGCTGTCCGGGGCGATCTTAAAATGCTGGCGGGCGGCATTTTAAAATCGCCCCGGACAGCGGAGGACTTCTCCGCTGTCCAGGGCGATTTAAAAGCCCCTGGGAAGGCAGGCAGGGGGGACAAAGACTTTTGCCCCCCGCCAGCCTTCAGAAGAGGTCCTGGACCTCTTCTGAAGGCTGGCGGGGGGCGAAAGTCTTTGTCCCCCCTGCCTGCCTTTAAAAGCCCTCCCGGGAAGGCAGGCAGGGGGGACAAAGACATTTGCCCCCCGCCCTCCTTCAGAAGAGGTCCAGGACCTCTTCTGAAGGCTGGTGGGGGCGAAAGTCTTTGCTCCCCCCCGCCTGCCTTCAAAAGCTGTCTGGCCAAGGCTTCGCGGACCTCTCCGCAAGCAGCGGCAGCGCTGCCGCTGCTTGCTGAGTGTTGCCGGCATGCCGAAGCCTGCGCGCGCTGAGATCAGCGTGCCCAGGCTTCGCGGACCTCTCCGCAAGCAGCGGAAGCGCTGCCGCTGCTTGCGGTGAGTTGCCGGCATGCCGAATCCTGCGCGCGCTGAGATCAGCGCGCCCAGGCTTCGCGGACCTCTCCTGCCTTCAAAAGCCGTCCGGGATAGCGGGAAGCGCTTCCCTGCTATCCCGGACTGCTTTTAAAATGCTGGCGGTGGGGAGCAAAGCCTTTCGGCCCCCGCCAGCCTTCCTGGACCTCTTCTGAAGGCCGGAGGGGGGGGAAGGCTTTGCTCCCCACCGCTAGCATTTAAAAGAGGTCCCCGGAGATTTCCCTATGGGCTTTCGTCTTGCGAAGCAAGCCCATAGGGAAATTCGTTTTGCGAAGCGCCTCCAAAACGGAAAACCCTTTCGTCTAGCAGGTTTTCCGTCTTGCGAGGCGTTCGTCTTGCGGGGTACCACTGTATTAGATTTGCTTGCAGGAAGAAGAATGGTACTATTTCAATTACTATTACCGTATTTTTCGCTCTATAAGACGCACCAGACCACAAGACGCACCTAGTTTTTGGAGGAGGAAAACAAGAAAAAAAAATTCTGAATCTCAGAAGCCAGAACAGCAAGAGGGATTGCTGCGCAGTAAAAGCAGCAAATCCTCTTCCTGTTCTGGCTTCTGTGATAGCTGCGCAGCCTGCATTTGCTCCATAAGACGCACACACATTTCCCCTTACTTTTTAGGAGGGAAAAAGAGAGTCTTATAAAGCAAAAAATATGGTAATTGACCTTTTGTTTTCAGGCTAAATGCAATTTCCTCACAATGCAATGATGGGCTGATAGGGTGGTTTCTGCACCTACATAATAAACTAGAAGTAAATCATTGCCACATATTCTCTTCTGAAGCAGAACACCCCCCCCCCCGAGAATCTATAAAACTGTCCTAAAAGGATGAAAAAATATGTCTGGTAGCAAAATGCCTTCCTTACTGAGATTCCACTTCAAGCCTGTTGTCGTGACACAGTCGCAAGAGCTCCCAATGGGAATGAGGCCGCACCACTTGCCTTCTAGTCCTGTGTTTACACGTAGTTTGTGCTTTCCCTGCAACACAGAAAGAACTTTGGTTTAGTGTCCACTGATCAGGAAGCACATGATTATGTAAACAACACATTTTTATGCACAAAAGAAGCTACAGATTAGGCACATCACTGCCGTTAAGGCAGTAAGAAAGAGGACCCACAACACTACTGAAAAAAATCATCAAGATTTTCACCCTCCTTGTGAAAGAGGTAGGCAGATTTGGGTACAGCTCTGCTTGTGAGCTTTCCAGAAGCACCTGGCTGGACTAGAGGAAGCCTCAGTCGGATCCAGGAGGCCATTTCTTATGTTTTCTTATAAGTTTGACTAAAAGCTTAGCTTTACAGATATTTATAAACTCGGCTCTGAAGGATCAGTGCAATTCTAAGGATGTCAAATGAAGTCATATAAATAGCATTTTAAAATTCTCCAGGGTTTGAGAAAACACTGTTTATGCCTTTTTAAAAAATAATAATAATCTTAATTTATGGCTGCAATAGAAATCCCTTGTATGACTTAAAATATAGGAGGGATACTAGTTTCTACTCTGCATTTTAGGACAATCCCTTTGGGGTGATAATGGGTTGTAATTGGAGTGGAAAGCTGATGAGAATTTGTGGAAAGCTGATGAGAGTTTTAGCATCTATTTCACATTTCATATCTGTCTCCCAAATACTTTAAAGATAAGAGCCTCAAATCTAGAGGAAAATCTCATGGGACAGCAGAAGTAGTGAAATGCAGTGAGGAGGGGCATCACAGCTGCAATGAAGAAAATTGGTGGACTGTAGCTCAATTGACTACAGTGCAATTGTACCCGTAGTCTGCAATCTCGATCCACCCCTGCAGTTGGGCATCAAGTCTACTGTGGTCTCCAACTGGCTATAGTGTTGATTTAATATCTCAGGGGGTCACAAGTCAGTCAGGATAAAGTGGAGCAGAAGCACCTCAAGGTTTTAACATTAAAAGCAAAACAATACCCAGTGCCAAGGTGGCTAATTATTCCCTTTTATGCTTTAGTTGCTGAGATACCACCACCAAAGTAAAAAACCTGAACAGAGCTTTAACATTTTTTCTTCTGGATCCAAGGCTGACCGTGCTTTAATTAATGTAACTGCTGATAAAAATCATGTTATATAATGAGATTCCATTGATTTTTGTCTTATTAAACCATTTTTGAAAAACTCTGATCAATCAGAAAAATTGATTCAGTTCTTTTTCCGTTTTCATTTCATCGCTGGTGATGGAAAATAAAGATCAGTTTTTAAGTTCAGCCTTTTGAGGAAAACATCCAAATGTGTGTGTGTGTGCTTTTTTTTTTAAAAAAGCATTTTAACCAAAATGAGACTGAGCTTTTCATATGGTTTTGTTCATATAACTTCATTTTTATGTTTTGCTCACATTAACGTATAGTTTTGACTAGAAAGCCTGAAGGAATAGGAGTTATTCATTAAATGTGGCTTCTGTGACTAGCAAAACCGTACAGGGGTTGGAGAAGCAGCCTTGTGGCAATGGAAGCAAGGCTTTAATTCATAACTTATTTACCACACTGTGGCACAAAGCTGAATGATAAAAATGTCTTTGGAGGTTTTCTTGATAAGGATATACCTGAATTTCATCTTTTCTACACAGGGCACCCCCTCTCCCATTTCATTATATACATGGGACCTGGAAGCACCACTATGAATATAAAACGTGCTTGCCTGCGTTGACCTAAGCTGGACACCAGCGAAACCTCAGTTTCTTTCCTTTTCATGCCTCCTGTTTGAATGTTCTCTAGGAAAACCAATATATTCTTATAGCAAGCCCATACCATTTCACAGAGCATGTGGGGAACTCAGAAGACTGAATGCTGTTGCATACCCCGCCATCCCCAGTGCCTGCATATAGAAAACTAGATGCCAAGTGATTGGCTAGACCAGAATTCTACTCTTGACATCTAGCTTTCTGTATAGAGGGAATTGTTTGCATGGGGGAGCATTCAATCCTATGAGCTCTAGAGAGTGAGACAAACCATGAGCCCCCATCAGCTTACATGCTAAGCCAAACCATGTTTTAGCTTACAGCAGTGCAGCTGGAGGAGGACCAGGAGAGGAGTGCATCAGTCACGATGTCCTCTCTAGAAACCATAGGAAAATGGTTTGGCTTAGTGTGAACACAAGGGTTTCTAGAGAGGACATCGTGACTGAGGCACTCCTGGTTTGGCTTAGTGTTACTTGTGAATCTGTCCAAACTGAATGGAATGGGCCATTGTTGTTCCAACGCCTTTATAAATGACTTGGATGAAGGAACTCAAGAGATGCTTATCAGATTTTCAGATGACACCAAACTGGGAGGAGTAGCTAATGCCAAAGAAGACAAATCAGGATTCAATATGACTTTAACAGATTGGAGAACTGGGACAAAACTAAGAAAATGAATTTCAATAGGAACAAATGTCAGGTTCTACACTTAGGCAGGAAGATCTAGCTATACCAGTATAAGATGGGGGACGTCTGGCTTGTCAGTAGTACATGTGAAAAGGATCTAGGGGTCTTAGTAGACCACAAGCTTAACATGAGTCAACAGTGTGATGCAGCAGCAAAAAAAGCTTATGCTATGCTAGGCTGCATCAACAGAAGTATAGTGGTACCTCGGGTTAAGAACTTAATTCGTTCTGGAGGTCCGTTCTTAACCTGAAACTGTTCTTAACCTGAAGCACCACTTTAGCTAATGGGGTCTCATGCTGCCGCCACGCCACCGCCACACTATTTCTGTTCTCATCTTGAAGCAAAGTTCTTAACCCAAGGTACTATTTCTGGGTTAGCGCAGTCTGTAACCTGAAGTGTCTGTAACCTGAGGTACCACTGTATAGTGTGCAGAGGAGGGTAACCAAGATGATCAAGGGTTGCCACATGGAAGATGGAGCAAGACTGAAATTTGTTTTGGATTTCAAATTACTTAGAAATCAGCCCTGATAATATTTGTAGCATTTACTTTCAAGTAAGAGAATGCAGTATCAGGAACTTTCACCACAGTCATATAAGACCCCTAGTAATTTTAAGTCATATATTTCAACAAGAATGGAATAGGATGCTTGGGGAGAAATCACAACTATGTAAAATGTTTCTGACCCTACTACATTCATAGTGACTTCCTGCTGGATGTATTATAGTAGCTCAAGCAGAGACCATTTCCTCAAAATGCACAAACCTCCTAAAGCAGAATCTGTTTCTTTCTGGCATCTCATTTATCATCATAGCCATAATGCTGATGAATTATCCCTACAGAATTAGACTGCAATATCAGAAGTTCACCAAAGGCTATCAGAAATTATTGTGTGATCCAGCACAAGGAAACAAAACAAAACAGAACGGATTACACAAGAGCAAGTCCTGCAGTCATACAAAATCTCAGAAAAGTATTCTGGATAAAGCTAATTTCTTGAGTCCATTTCATTTTTGTCCTCTCACTACAAAGGGTGATATGGGGATACAAATTAAAGCACAGCAAAGAAAGAATTAATCCTGCACACTTATAGAAATCTCAATTCTCCAAGTGAGGATCCAAAATGGAACTAACTACAAACAAGAGAGAAGTATCAACAGGCTTGGAGTTTTGCCGAAGGACAAAAATTCTTTGGGAATAAAAATCACAAGGGAAGGGGAAATCCAAAAAATGCCTCAAAGAGGACTGAGCATGCTCAGGATTCCCCCAAATTACAAGATTTTGTTCTAGGACTCACATGCACATGCCTGCTTCTCATTGAGGCTGCATCTGGACTGCACCAGTTAAGAAAACAGGTGGGGACTCAAGAACTAAGCAGCATTTGTGCCCAGCCAGAAGATCTTTGCTATCTCATCTTTCCCTTTGATGCAATCAGTTAAGTGGAGCTGGTGTATTGTAGAACAGCTGCTACTATATCAGGCCCCCTTGGTTTTGCAATCCCAGGCAGTCAACAAAAGCAAAAGGTCTGGAGTCCTCCATACATGACTGCAGCTGTGTTTGGCTCTGTGGGTCAGAGGCTGCACAGTCCTCCTTTTACTTCCATCTCTTGAGAGGTGGAAAATGTAAAGCTAGCTTTTGTGTAGTTGGTTCCTTATGAAGAAATGAAGTACAGTGAATTTTTCCATTCCTAAAACATATCGGACTTATTTACAAATGAACAAATTGCAAAGAAATGGCAGGAGTGCAAAAATATCCTCCCCCCAAAACTACAGATTTAGCTTGCTTTAGCCTCTGAGCCAAAAACTTGCACGTCAACCCTCCTTTTCACAGAGATTCGTTTCTGAACGGAGGTGGGCTGAAGTCTTTGCTCTTATCTAGGGGTCACAATGTTGGCCTGGTATCTCACAAGTGTCAACCCCCACCCAACCATGTGAAATTTGATATAGTGTAGTGCTGTAAGCAGACTGATAACTTGAGGCTTTCTAGACATATTGCTCAAAACATGGTAAAACTTTTATTAAAGGTAAAGGTAAAGGTACCCCTGCCCATACGGGCCAGTCTTGACAGACTCTAGGGTTGTGCGCCCATCTCACTCAAGAGGCCGGGGGCCAGCGCTGTCCGGAGACACTTCTGGGTCACGTGGCCAGCGTGACATCGCTGCTCTGGCGAGCCAGAGCCGCACACAGAAACGCCGTTTACCTTCCCGCTAGTAAGCGGTCCCTATTTATCTACTTGCACCCGGGGGTGCTTTCGAACTGCTAGGTTGGCAGGCGCTGGGACCGAGCAGCGGGAGCGCACCCCGCCGCGGGGATTCGAACCGCCGACCTTTCGATCGGCAAGCCCTAGGCGCTGAGGCTTTTACCCACAGCGCCACCCGCGTCCCTAAAACTTTTATTAGGCTACACCATTTTACATTGGAGGTGCAGGAATCACAATCAAATAGTCTCCCCCACCAACTCCCAAATCCCACATATAGAAAACTTGATGGTCAGATAAATGGTAAGCTAGACTGTGCGCGAAGGTTTGGATAGGGTAAAAACTTCAGTTTTCAATCAAGGAGTTACCCACCTTAAATCTAATGTAGATCCAGAAATTGTTTT